TTGTATATCAAATATGAGGACGTTTTCATTGTTCGATCTAATATTCTGTCTTGGAGAGAAGGATGCGTATGTGGAGCGTCCTCTCTTTAAGCGTGGAAAAAGGGAGGCCCATGTTTTTTCTTGTCTAGCTAGGCTGGTTTCTTTGGCTTTATCCTTATCTTTGTCCGACTGCGGTTGGGCAACACTTTCCTCAAGCGGGATATCTGTGTTTTCTGCACAGTCATTATTTAGAACGTGTCTTTGTTTTGATGTTTCTTTGTTTACTTCGGCTATTTTACTAGATATACATGTTGGTACGTGTTCTTCTTCTGTATTCTCCTCCGTTTGCATGTTCGTACAGTCTTTTAACACCTGTAAGTCTTGCTCTACCTTGTCGTCCCAGGTTAAAGCAGTGCTTATCACATCTTTTTGGCATGTCTTATCGTTTTCACTCTGACTTGAGATATTGTATGGAGATGTCTTTTGTATTGGTGTCTCTTGATTTTCTTTTTCAACCGAGTCAGTTGTTTTTGCTTTTTTTTTATTTTTTCCTATACTGCCTTTACAAGTGGGTTCTGGAGGTGTTTCTCTGCGTCTTTTTTTCCCTGTAGTGAGGGCAAGAGCCCCTATTTCCTTGTAGTCCCAAGACTTGCTTGTGTGAATATTCTTATGTATTGTGTCTTGTTAAAATTTACTCTTCCTCGACTGATGTGGTCGGGAGAGAGTGTATGTAGATCTTTATTTTAATTATTTTATATACTAATCTTTAAATATTATTTTTTTAAGTTCAAAATTATTCATTTTCCCAGCAAATAAAATTATTAACAGCAGTATTATTAAAATATTAAAAAGAAAATAGTGAATATTTATTAGATCCTGAAAAGTTTCAACAAATGATTGAGTTAAATGAACCAAAATTAAAAGGATTTTTGATGAAATAATTAATACATTAATTCCAAAAAAAAAGACTTGATAAAAATAGAGAAAAGGCAAAAAAACAAGTAGTTGGATATTGCTATCTTTTAGTTGGAATAAGAAACAAGTTTGCTAATTACTTTTTTTTTAATTTTCCCAGGCTAAAAAGTTATAGTATCTGGGGCACGTGTGGCGCACTTTTTATTTTAGCTAATTAATAAATACACTATTTACAGTACAAATATTTACAGATTTTTCTATTTAGAAAAATTAAGACTTAAAGTTTTAATTTCTCTTGCAATTCTGTTGTTAATGATTGTAACCATGGTAGTTAATGGATTATTGTTTTTTTCCCACTTGGTGTTGGTATATCGGCACCAAATTTCATAGATCGTAATTATATTTAGCCACTGCACTGTTGCATGGTATCATTTTTGTGTAATGTTAGATTTTGTAAGAATGTTCTCTATAGTGCTTGGGATTTCTGGAATTGGTTGTATTCTGAGGAATTTGTAGGCTTCCTTCCAAATAGTTTTACTAACTCTGCACTCTACTGCAAAATGCTCTGGGTTTGTAGCTCATTTTCACACCAAGAACAGTCCTCTGATTCAAGTGGTGATACATGTCATAGTTTGTAGCCTAGAGGTAAGGCTCTGTGTGAGAGTCATCACAGAATGTCCTTTTTTTTGTTGTCTATCCCCTTACAAAGAGTCTATTCAGTTGGTGTGCTGTTGGCCGGAATATAAGTGGGAGAGGTTAAACATGTAGATTCTCTTAAGAAGTTTACTATATTTTTGATGCAAAATTCATCTCCTTTTTTCCCTTCTAGTAATATTTCTTCTAGCCACCAAGGCCAAGTTGTATTGGAGGATTTTGTGCCTTTTGCCTTTTCTATACCATTATGTATGGTTTCTATTCTGTGGGCCAGGCCTTGGTTCTAATTGGGTACATTGTTAAGGCTTGTAATATTGTAGTATTTCTTTTAGATTGTAATGTTTCTGATAATCTTTCTGTTCTATTTTTGTCCATAGTGTGTTTTCTGAAAGAAGTTTGGTTAATACTGATAGCATTCTGGCTTCTAGCATATTTCCTATAATTGGAG